TAATCCGTTAACAAATGAGACCTCTCAAAATGGCAGCTGACAGAAGTGGCCCCTTTGGAGGTGGGGATAGAGGTCTTGGGGGAAACAGGTGCCCACATGGTGCCAAGCATTTGGGCTGAGTATAAGAAGTCACCATGGATGTTACAGCTGTTGATGAAGTTGGGGTCTCCCGGGAGAGACCCTTCATTGTTCTTTTTGTCCCAATAATATTACTGAAAGAGAATGCTAGAGTGTCGTTTTCTGAAGTCAGATGAACTTGTTTATGAATTGACTTGCATTTAAGTTGGTTCTTGGCAAATATTGAAAAAGTCTTCCCATGCCTTTTTTTCTACTCTCAAGTGAATACTAATTAAAAATGGTATTTTTTTCATTAACCTTTTGAAAAGTATTATTCAAATGTGCTCAGAATGACTAAACTGATAAACTGGATAAAATTAATTGCTGGAGGTGATGAAGTCTTGTGAATTATTACAATCCATTCTATCAGTTTGTTCAAGCTACCTCATTAAATCTAAAGAGGTAACAGACACAACACAAGCCCAGTTCTCAAGCAAAGGAGAACTTGAGAGGGATAAATCTTTGAACACGGTGTCATGCAGCACAATTATTGGATATGCCTGAACCTATTTATTGCTGTTTTTGAGTCTGGAATGCATAGTTGCGTTTTATATGGGCTTAATGGGTGTATTATGTTCCTGATCATCCTTTCTTCTTGAATTTGTAAGAAATGAAACATTGCTCTTTGTTCATTGTTCTACACTGTTGATCCTTGTTTAAGAAGGCAGGCATCTGATCCTCAGAAAAGTTTGCATCACAGAGCAACTAGAAAAGCATCCACCATTAAACCCAGCAACAGTTACACCTCTCAAAAGAACATCCAACGTTGATCCAGGTGCCCTGGATTGAAAGTAACATTTGGCCTATGGAGAATTCCCAGAGGATGCTCAACAATGATGATTATGAGATCTGAAAATAGAACCAATAAAGAGAAAACATAAGACCTGGTTATTTCCTCTGGAAGAAAAAGGGTAAAAGAAGATGTGAAGGTGGCAGGGCATGGTGGCTCATGGCTGTAATTCCCAGCACTTTGGGAGGCCGAGGTGGGCCGATCACCAGAGGTCAGGAGTTTATGACCAGCCTGGCCAACATGCCAAAACCTTGTCTCTACTAAAAATACAAAAATTAGCCAGGCATGGTGGCAGCTGCTTGTAATCCTAGCTGCTCTGGGAGGCTGAGGCAGGAGAATCTATTGAACCTGGGAAGTGGGGGTTGCAGTGAGCTGAGATGGCACCACTGCACTCCAGCCTGGGCAGCAGAGTGAGACTTCGTCTCAAAAAGAAAAAAAAAAAAAAAGACTTAAAGGCTATCTCCAAATCTGTGAAGTTAGTTTTTCTTCCAAAGATACTTGATACAATTCTCTTTTTATATAATCTGTGGATAAAATCAGGGAAAACTGGTTTAAATTATAACAGAAGAGATTTAGGTTAGATGGAAGAAGAAAAATTTCTAGCAGAAAATGCAGGTAAACACCAAGCAAATGTGTGGGCTTCATTTACCTAGTAAAAATCTGACTATTCACTAGGCGTTGTATTGAATGATCTTACACACTGTGATGATGCAATGCTGAGGCTTATCCTTTTGTGATCCTACAATCATTCTATTTTATGCTCTTAGAGTATCAGTCACTTTAATGATATCTTCTTGGAAGCAAAAATACCCTTCTCAATACAGTTATCAGAAGGTAGTAACTGTGTTTGATTATTGAATTTGATTATTATTATTTCAATTAGAGATGGGATCTTGCTATGTTGCTCAGGCTGCTCTCAAACCCCTGGGCTCAAGCAATCCTCCTTCCTCAGCCTTCCAACATTCTAGAATTACAGGCGTTAAGCCACCACACCTGGCCAAGATGATTGAATTGTTTATACCTGTGTTATAGTGGAACAGGTATTCAAAAAATGCTAATGAAGGTGATTTTTCTTAAAGCTGCTGATGAGGAGGCCTTTTTCACTTGGTTTCTCATCAACTGTGATGTCTTGGGTCTCATATCATTATTATGATGGATGTTTGTTTTCTAAGATTACCTATCCACTATTCACAATAGAAAGACATGGAATAAACCTACATGCCCATCAGTGGTGGAATGGGTAAAGAAAACATGGCAATACACATATATACCACGGAATGCTACACAGCATAAAAAAGAACAAAATCATGTCCTTTGCGGCAGCATGGATGCAGCTGGAGGTCATTATCCTAAGTGAATTAACACAGGAACAGAAAACCAAATAGTGCATGTTCTCACAAGTGGGAGCTAAACACTAGGTAGTTATGGCCATAAAAATGGCAACAATACACACTGGCAACTACTAGATGGGGAAGAAAGGGACGGGGGCAGGGCTGAGAAACTGACTTAACTACTATACTCAGTGCCTGGTTTGACAGGATCAGTTGTACCCGAAACCTCAGCATCACGCAATACCCACGTAACAAAAGCACACATGCACTCCCTGAATCTAACACAGAAATTGAAATTATTAAAAAGCTAATTTATAGTTACCAGGAAAAAATAATGAACTGTTAAGAACCTCACGTTGGTCTTGGTGGCTCATGCCTGTAATCACAACACTTCGGGAGACAGAGGCAGAAGGATTGCTTGAGCCTAGGAGTTCGAGACCAGTCTGGGCAACATAGGGAGACATTGTTTCTACAACGAAATGTAAAAAGTATTAGCCACGCATGGTGGCACACACCTATAATCCCAGAACTTTGGGAGGCCAAGGTGGGGGGGATCACTTGAGTCTGGGAGGTTGAGTCTGCTGTGAGCTATGATCATGTCACTGCACTCCAAAAGAAGACCTCATATTCTGTAGGCTTGAGTTTGAGACCAGTCTGGACAACATAGGGAGACCTCATCTCTACAAAAAAAAAGTAAAAAAATATTAGCCAGGCATGGTGGTGTGTGCCTATGGTCTCAGCTACTAGGGAGGCTGAGTTGGGAGGATCACCTGAGCCTGGGAGGTTGAGGATGCAGTGAGCTATGATCATGCCACTGCACTCCAAAAGATCTCAAATTCTGTAGGGGGTGCAGTTAGGGGGAGATCTGAGTGAAAAGCATGGTTTCACTTGACTCTCAGATATTGCACCTAGGGAGTTGTGATGGTTTATGTCGTGACATTTAGGGCTAAGTCTTTTTAACAGAGTAGAATCTTTTATATGTAAAATGTTTTGTTAAAATCTAATAATTTTTTGTTCCCAGTATGTATAATTTCCTTCATGACACAATTAACTGAAACAATGTACTTTAAAAAAAACAAAACAAAACAAAAACTGAATACAACAGATTATGATTCTAAACCTGATCTTCTGACACCAGGGATTGAGGAAACAATTCTCATAAAATAAAGATTAGGCCATCTGACAATTTCCAAAAATTAAATATACCTACCTCCAAGGATTTTAAAAAATTTCTTCTTTTAAAAAAACATTCTAACAGAGCCTTAAAAAATTTAGAGATGGGGTCTAGGCCTGGCTCAAACTTTATGGCTCAAGTGATTATCCCACCTTGGCCTCCAAAAATCCTGGTATTACAGGTGTGAGCCACCGAGCTCTGTCCCTTCCGAGGCTTTGAAGTAAATTTCCAGATGTTCCAATGTATTCTGCTTACTTAAAGTTTTTAACATTCATTACCTTCATTTCAAATGTGCTTTTTGAAACTTATTTGAACTTAAACTTGAACTTGAACTATTTTTGAAACTTAAAAATAAAATCAGGTTATGTCCTAGTGTAGCCAATGCACTATCTAAACTGCTAAGAGTCTATGATGATGCCAAAGACAATTGTAACTTGAGGTGGTTGATTCTAAAGCTCTCAGCCAAGTAACCTGTAAAGCGGAGAAAAGAGCTTACGTTTAAGGGTGGGTGCAGTGGCTCATGCCTGCAATCCCAGCATTCCGGGAGGCTGAGGTGGGCGGATCACCTGAGAACAGGAGTTTGAGACCAGCCTGCCCAACATGGGTCAACCCCGTTTTTACTAAAAACGCACAAAAAATTAGCTGAGCATGGTGGTGTGCACATGGATTCTCAGCTACTTGGGAGGCTGAGGCATGAAAATCGTTTGAACCTGGGTGGCGGGGGGGTGGCAAAGCAAGACTCTGTCTCAAAAACAAAAAAGAAAGAGCTTAGATTTAAGGCAGAACATGGTTCCCTTCTCACTTTCTCTTTCCCCTTGCTTCAGCCTCACTTCCTTTCCTTCTCCCCTTTATTTCTATATTATCATTATGTTTCTGTAGTTTAATATGGTGCTGGGAAGTAATTTTTAAAGTAAACCTTTCTATTCTTAAAATTTTATTTTTGTCTTGTGAAGGAAGAAATTAATGTTTTCAAAACAGAAGTACTATTACTCTCTGGATGTATTTTTCCCTATATGTGTTTATAACATTTAAAAAGAATGAAAATAAAGCCGGGCGTGGTGACTCATGCTTGTAAGCCCAGCACTTTGGGAGGCCGAGGCGGGCAGATCACCTGAGGCCAGGAGTTTGAGACCATCCTGGCCAATATGGAGAAACCCCGTCTCTACTGAAAATACAAAAATTAGCCAGGAGTGGTAGGACGTACCTGTAATCCCAGCTACTCAGGAGGCTAAGGCAGGAGAATTGCTTGAACCCAGGAGGCAGAGATTGCAGTGAGCCGAGATTGCGCCACTGCACTGCAGCCTGGGCAGCAGAGCAAGACCTTGTCTCAAAAAAAAAAAAAAAAAAAAGAATTAAAAAACTTATTTTCCTCCTATAATAAAAATAAGCTATGTTTGTTATTTACACATTTCTTTTTTCTCTGATGGGTTAAATATGATTTGTTAGATGAGCTAGTTTTCATGCTGGTATTTTTTCATCTGTTCAGAATGATGTTTCTTTGTAAACTTCACTCAATTTCAGTGTCTAAGTAAAATGGCAGAATGACTTGGTTGACTAGGTTGTTTTATGTGTCCTTTGTTTGTTCTAGATACATTTCATATTGCTCTTCAGTCGACAAGGGAAATTACGGCTGCAGAAATGGTACGTCACTCTCCCTGACAAAGAGAGGAAGAAGATCACCCGAGAAATTGTTCAGATTATTCTCTCCCGTGGTCACAGGACAAGCAGTTTTATTGACTGGAAGGAGCTAAAACTTGTTTATAAAAGGTGTGAGTAACTTTATGAGAGCTTAATTTCCCAGTCTTGATTGGTTTGTTCTAATGGTTTGTTCTAATCCTGAACATTTTAGATTGCTATACCAATTCCATCATTTACTGAAATCTTTGAAGGCTAGGGTCCAGATGTTTGTACCAATAGACTAACTAGAAAAGAACTCTCATGTTACCGAAAGAACTTCTAGGTGACAGGATAAATTGTCGCTGCTTGTACTATACCTTTATAGTGCATGCATGCATTCAAGAAAAATGGTATGAGCACCTATTACATTCCTGGCATTGTTCTTTTTAATTTTTTTGGAGATGGAGTCTCACTCTGTTGCCCCGGCTGGAATGCCATGTTGTGATCTCAGCTCACTGCAACTTCCACCTCCTGGGTTCAAGTGATTCTCTTGCCTCAGCCTCCCAAGTAGCTGGGATTATAGGCTTCTGCCACTATGCCTGACTAATTTATGTAATTTAAGAGAGACAGGGTTTCACCATGTTGGCCAGTCTGGTCTCAAATTCCTGAGCTCAGGTGATCCATCTCCCTAAGTGCTGGGATTATAGGAATGGGCCACTGCACCTGGCCATTTTTGGCATTGTTCTGATGGCTGTGAATACATCAGTGAACAAGACATGTGACATTCCTGCTCTTATGGAGTGTACTTATTTATTTATTATTTTTTGAGATGGAGTCTCTCTTTGTCACCCAGGCTGGAGTACAGTGGCATGATAACGACTTACTGCAACTTCTGCCTTCCGGGTTCAAGTGATTCTCCTGCCTCAGTTTCCCTGAGTAGCTGGGACTACCGGCATGAACCACCATGCCTGGCTAATTTTTGTATTTTTAGTAGAAACAGGGTTTCACCATGTTGGTCAGGCTGGTCTTGAACTCCTGACCTCAGGTGATCCGCCTGCCTTGGCCTCCCAAAGTGCTGGGATTACAGGCGTGAGCCACCACGCCCATCCAGAATGTACTTATTTATTAAGTAACCAAATAAAAAAGATTGAGTTAGTAACAAGTGCTTTGGAATAAAATGGAGGTTAGCATGACAGAGAGGTGGGGATGTGTTCAGTGGGGCAGCTCTTGTTATACCTGTTACTTACATTTGTAATGAGTAAATTGAGGACATGAAGAGTTTCGTAGTCAGTTCCCAGTCACAGTAATTTGAGTGTTAATTGGTAGAGCCACGATTCAAATCCAGATCTTTTTGGCTTTGAAGCCTGTATATTCTTTTCACCATACCTGCTTGCCACGGGAAGACCATACTAGAAAGGACTCTCAATTTATAGATAAGAGAATCAAAGCTGAGAGGTAGCATAATTTTGCTCTTGGAGACCCAGGTAATTGATGCCTAAGCCAGGAACAGAACGCAGCCTGCATCCAACATCCTACTGCAGCTCCTGGAAGGAAAATGCACATTAGAGATGCTCTTGCAAAGGGTGTTTATAAAACTCATTGGGAAAAACAGAGGTAAGCTCTGCAGACTGATATTTAATGGAGTGAATTACCAGCAAGTGCCTGCAAAGCTCCTTCTGCTGGGCCCAAGTTTGGAGTTTGACAATTTGAGGAGGGGAGGCACACACAGAATGACTGAAGCGCATTCATAAGTGGGAGGGTGGGGAGCGTGGACTCCTGAGAGCACTGGTCAGGGCTTGCTGTTTTACAAAAAGCAATTGACAAGCTGGAGAGGGGTATGAACAGACACCCTGATTACCATGGGCCAAAGGACACTGTCCCCTGATAATAGCTCTTCAAGGTAAAATTTTGCTGAGAGCCTTTCATGTGTAATTAACAGAAGTAATCCAACCCCCACAGCATTTTTATATATTCTGATTTATATTTCAGGAGGCTACTGGGGGCGATGAATAATGATTTCATCCTTGGATGGGGAGAGGCTTAGCGGGGAGGAGGTGACTTTGCATATTCATGGGAAAAAAAACAGTCTTCAGGTTGCTTAATGTATCATCATATTTTGCTTTTGTTATGTTTCATTTCAAGGTATGCTAGTTTATATTTTTGCTGTGCAGTAGACAATCAGGACAATGAACTCTTGACGCTAGAGATTGTGCATCGTTACGTGGAGCTGCTGGACAAATATTTTGGAAATGTAAGTGTGTGCTTGTTGGTTAGGATTAGTTATAGTCCCCATCTCAGCTCTTACTTCAGTCTGTTACCACTTCTCTCCCTCACATCTAAAATATGAATTGAACTTGAATCAAAGATCACCTTAGTCTCCCTAAGATTAGCATACAAGACCTTTCTCCCTACCTGCAATTCTTAGTATGAAAGAACCATCTTCCTTTCTTTCTAAATAGAGATGGAGTCCCGCTATGTTTACCAGGTTGGTCTTGAACTCTTGGCCTGAAGCAATTCTCCCACCTCATCATCCCAAAGATCTGGGATTATAGGCATAAGCTACTGTGCCCGGCCATCCAAAGCTTTCAAGAAGTGGATGTATCTTTATTTCACCACAAATACACCAGAGACCTTATTTCAGTGAACGAGAATGTAACTGTAAAGGATTTCTTGATATTCTGTCCCTTATTCTTCATTGGCTTTGTCATCTCTTTTCTGTTTTGACTTTTTATCCTTTCTCTGTTTTTTTTTCTAAGCTATAAGTATTCTTAATTATTTATGCATAAGAAAAATAGCAACAAACAAAAAACCCAAATCCTTTTCCTTCACATTGCTGTTCAATAATCTTTTTGCATTTTCTGCCAAGTGATATACTACACCAGGTGCTCCAGTCCTCAGAACCCGTTCACTCTGCAGTGCTTACAGCATGGGTCCATCTTTACTCTCCAAGGAAATCAGCAAGTTACCTTGAAACCCTCCCGTGGGTTGACACCAGCGATCCCTCTTAACTCTTCACCTGCTTTCACCTGCCTCTCACTACAGCACTGGACCCTTGCTCACCATGAAGCTTTCTTTAAATTGGCCCCTCTTGATTTTGCCATGACACTGATTTCTGCTGACTCTTGTCCTGTTACTTCCGAAGGCCCCTCCTTGGTTTTCTTCCACTCAGCTCCCTTCCTCTGCCCATCCCTAAATGCTCTCATCTCTTCCTAACTCTGTGTGTACTGACTCTCGTCCTGGAAATTCCTTACTAAGTGACTCTTCTTCCCCTTGTTGGTGACAGTCTTCAGTGGGCTTCTCATGGTCCAGAACCAAACTCATCTTCTGAAAACCCGTTCTGTCTTGTGATTGGAATTTTTTATGTCCCAGGATCCTTCAGTGCGAAAGGATGCTGCTGCTTTTATCTTTTTCTGTGCCTTACCAGAATCTGCCTCTATTCAAATTGGGCTGACATTCATTCCCTTCTTTCCACCCTCACTAATACAGATTCACTTGGGATTTTAATTTTGCTTTTCTCTTAAACATCCTATCTGGATTTTTATGCCTCTGAACTTTTCTTTGTTCGCCCTCTTGCCTTATTAGTTACCATCTTCCTTAAAAAAAATCAAATCTAAGTGGGCGTTCCTTCACAGCCACTTGCCATCATGAGCAGTGAATACAATCAAAGCCCCTAGCCTGGTGGTTAACCTTTCAGAGCATGGATCCCTGACCACTACTCCAGGCTTGTTGCATTTCCCTTTTTATTTATTTATTTATTGAGACAGAGTTTTGCTCTTGTTTCCCAGACTGGAGGGCAATGGCACAATCTCTGCTCACTGCAATCTCCACCTACTGAGTTCAGGTGATTCTCCTGCCTCAGCCTCCCGAGTAGCTAGGATTACAGGTGTCCCACCACCATGCCCAGCTAATTTTTATGTTTTTAGTAGATCTGCCTCAGGTGATCTGCCTGCCTTGGCCTCCCAAAGTGCTTGGAGTATAGATGTGAGCCACCATGTCCAGCCTACATTTCCCGTTTTATATAACTGACAGTTCTTCAGCAACAAGGAACAACCTTGGAGTGTGTCTAACTGGAAGCAGATATACTTGACCACCAAATGGCTAGTCTCTTGAGACCATGCCTTGTGACTCATTTTATCCCCCTGCCACTTAACTTGTGACCAGCGCTGGGCCAGATTTGATAGCAAATCTTCCAAAACATTAATCAATTTCACAATCTCAAGAAATAAATCACTGGATTTTGGAAAACGTTTTCTTCTCAGTAATACCGTCTTCCCTTTCCCTTACTCACTGAAGATGTGTGTTAAATGTTAGGATAATTTGCTTCCAGAAGAGTTTCTTTGTTACTCTCTTTAATGCAATGAGCAGCATTTGCAGTATTGAATGAGTTTTATCAGATTTGTTGCAACACTTTTCATAAGGATGAACATTGGAAAGATTTCTAAAAGAATTTTTCCTCCCTCCCTTTTTTCCCCTTGGAAATGATGTTTTAAAACCTAAACTGTTGCTTCAGGGATTTCAGGTTGTTGATCAGTATATAACAGCAATAAGAAAACTAGACCGTGTTTTCTTTCTTCTCTTGATGTACCAAGTTTATTTTCATTTTTTTAAAGGAGAAATTTGCAAATGTATAATAGCATATTTTCAAACACATTATTTAATTTAATGCTTCCTCCTATTCAAATGAATTCTCACATTTTTATACTTTCCTTTGAAATAAACTACAGACTTGACCTTTTCTAAGAGCCTGAGGAAGTTTTCCTGAGGTCTGGGCATTCCCGTAACCTGTCTTCTCTTTCTCATTTCTGAACTCTGGCTTGACCTATTGCATTTTCCTAGATTAAACCAACTCTCATAATGTGAATTGGGGCTGAATTTTGATCTCAATCTATCTGACCAAATTTCAACCAGGTATCTCAGGGCATTTTGCTTCTCAAGAGAACCTGAGTAACCTTCACTGACACTAAGCCCAATTAAAGTACAAAGAGCATCAGAATGAATTCCCATTTCTCTAATATTAATTTTCCATTCTATTTTGGTATACCTTTGGAAGCTCTGTCTTTGTCATGTACCAAAATTTAATTTATTAAAAAATTCAATGAATCTTTCATTAAGCTAAGAACAGCTAAGAGCAATTCAAGGCTATATGCCCAGTAGATGTTCAGTTCTTATTAATTAACAGTGATGAGCAAAGACTTCCAGTCCTGATTATCACTGACATCATCTCAGCAATAAAATATTTCTCTTTGGTTTTCTTTTACTTCTGTACTAACACTAAAGCTTTCCTTGAATTCTGCCCTTATATAATATTATCTAGGGAAAATCTTGGTACCAAGCCTCTTGTATAATACTGGAAAAGATTATCTGCTGAAGACAGATGGATCAAAATCTCTGGCTACTAATTTATGTACTTTTGTTTTGCACTTTTCAATTCCAAGGAGATTTACAAGGATTAACTAATCTTCCGATCTTCAGTAAGTAGCATCACCCCCAATTTATAGAGGCTCAGAGGAAATGCCTCAGAGTCTCATGCCACATAAGAGTCTAAGGATTTAGGTATCTGCCATATTTCTGTATTACAGACTCTAGTGTGAATTTTTACTGGTGCCCCAGTGTGTGTGGATGTTGATGTCTAAGAGGGCTTTTGAACATGGTGTAGGGAGTTTTTTGTTGTTTGTTTTTGCTGTCAGGTGAAGAGCACCATGAGTCCCCCAGATGCTGGTATAGGCTCACTCACTCACCAGATCAAGGATTTGGGGCCTGTCATGTGTCTCTGTTTTACAGATGAGAAAAATGACCGTCAAAAAGGTTAAGAGAAGTGTTTACTTGGCTAACCTGATCAGTCTGCTAGAAGGGGTGAAGAGAGAGTGATACTTAATAAACTGTTCATTGCTGTGTAGTGTAGATTGCATTATAATTATTCTTATTTTATATATAGCTCTATGGTACTTATATAGTTTCTTATTATTTGAAGCATTTGCTGCATGTAACTTGAAATTTTTGTATTTACTTTAGAGCATAATTTAATAAGGACATGTCCTTCTTAGATTCTATCCAAAAGGATTCAGTTGGGGAAATGCCAGAAATAATCTCACTGCACCGTGAATTCTGCTGTTAGAGAAGAACCTCAAGCCAAATTGCAGTAAAGCACAAGGCTAGGATGTTGAAGATAAATAAGTTAAATGATAGCTCCTATCTTTCTAAAGCTTTACTCAGAATCTAGATACATAAGAAAATAAAGAGGCTCATGTGTTTATTAACATGGCAATGGAGGAAGAAGCCAGGGCTATTTGCATAATTAGAAAGCATGGAGTCACTTGAGCATCAGGGACATATTTTTGTTGTATTGGGTGGAATTTATTTTATTTTATTTTGTTTCTTTTTCCCGAGATGGAGTCTTACTACGTCACCCAGGTTGGGTTGTAGCTGCGCGATCTTGCCTCACTGCAAACTCTGCTTTCTAGGTTCAAACAATTTTCCTGCCTCAGCCTCTCGAGTAGCTGGGATTATAGGCATATGCCACCATGCCTGGCTAATTTTTTGTAGTTTTAGTAGAGACAAGGTTTCACCATGTTGGCCAGTCTGGTCTCAAACTCTTGACCTCAAGTGAGTAGCCTGCCTTAGCCTCCCAAAGTGCTGGGATTACAGGCGTGAGTAATTAGGCAGTAGCTTTGGAAATCTGAACTGGGGCTGGGAACAATGGCTCGTGCCTGTAATCTCAGCTCTTTGGGAAGGCCAAGGCAGGGGGATCATTTAAGGTCAGGAGTTCAAGACCAGTCTGGCCAACATGGTGAAACCCTTTCTCTACTAAACACACACACACACACACACACACACACTTAGCGAGGCATGGTGGCACATGCCTGTAATCTCAGCTACTCAGGAGGCTGAGGCAGAAGAATTGCTTGAACCCAGGAGGCAGTGAGCTGAGATGGCTTCACTGCACTCCAGCCCAGGAGGCAGAATGAGACTTTGCCTCAAAAAAATACACAAAAAGCACAAAATACCCAGACTGGTCCGAGGTCTTCTCTCATTCTCAGATGGCAGTAGACTCAAAGAATAACCGTAAGGTAGCACTTTCGAGTGGCTGTATGTGAAATAGTTGCTCGGTGTAACATTCTCTATAATGCCTATGGAACTCGTATATTCATTTCTCTTATGATCTAAAGATAGTAACTGTAAACCAAGGTGTGTGTGTGTGTGTGTGTGTGTGTGTGTGTGTTGTGTCTCTAATTCTGCATACCACGTTACCTTACCCTTATCCCTTGAAACAAGTACAGTAAATTAATTGCCCCATGGCTGCTGGAGGACCCAGACCTGGGGTTGTGTCAAAGTGGGATATAATTAGTTCCTAGAGAGTTTCATTAGTATTTGTCAGGTTCACTTTGCAGGATGTTAATTGCTGGTTTCTCCTAATGAGGCTCCTGTCTATCTTGGATTCCCGGTCTACGCCTTGAACTCTGAGGTTCCTCAGCTTGCTACTGTAACTCCTGACTTCTGCTTTTTCTGACCTCTGGTAACTCTTTTCTTCTCATACCTTCTTTCATGTACGTGGATGTCTGATCTATTGTGATTTCTTGTTGTTTCCTTCTATTGTTTAAAACTGCAAGAATGATACAGATTTTTACATAGCCCTCTAGATATATGGTTTTTAAAAACAGGATTGCATTCTGCTTATTATTCTGCAACTTTCTTTTTTCTCCCCTTTGCAAGTCTTAGAGCTCTTGCCGTATTTGTGCATGAAATCTACCTCATTCTTCTCAGCTTCTACATAGAAAATGCTTGCAACATATATAGCAGCAGGGGAAGGAGATAGTATCTGTGATACAGAAAGAATTATTCAAATTTCTAAGACAAATATTACAATAGAGAAAAGCAAAGTCTTTAAGAAGCAATTTGTAGACAAGGCAAGAAATGGAAAATGCCAGTGCACATCTGGTAAGATGTACAGTCTCACTAATAAGCAGGAAATGCAAATTTAATTAATATTCATCTGAAAATTTAGAGACTGTCCATTGCTGGAGATGGTATAGATAAGTAGGTCATCACTCTTACTGTTAGTGAAAATTTTAAGTTTTATAGCCTATTTTGGAGGACCAAATTTTAGTATTTATTAATTTTAAATGTACAAATCCTTTGACCCAACAATTCTTCAAGGAATTTATTCCTATGCTATCCTCAAATTAGCATGCAATACTGTATGTGGACAACAAAAATTATGGCAGCATCATTTAGAATATAAATTGGAAACAGCCCAAAGTTTGCCCATAGCCATAAAGGAACTGCTTAAATAAACTATGATATACCCCAGTATGGCACATGGGAATTCTGTGTGGAAGTTGGATTCATTTGGATCTGTCAACTTAAACCATGTTCCTTGTGGAGTCTGCTAGTTTATTGACCTAACTTGTAAATATATGGAGGAATTTGCTAAAATATTGACATCTATTTCATGCAAAGTTATAGCATTCAGTACAACCATAGAATTTTATCTAGGATGCTATTAATCTTTAGCATATTAGAAACAAGGCCTGTATTTATATATTTTTATTTATTTATTTTTGAGATGGAGTCTTGCTCTGTCACGCAGGCTGGAGTGCACTGGCACAATCTTGGCTCACTGCAACCTCTGCCTCCTGGATTCAAGCAATTCTCCTGCCTCAGCCTCCCAAGTAGCTGGGATTACAGGCGTGCACCACCATGCCTGGCTAATTTTTGCATTTTCAGTGGAGACGGGATTTCGCCACATTGTCCAGGCTGGTCTCAAACTCCTAATTGCAGGTGATCCACCTGCCTCACCCTCCCAAAGTGCTGGAATTACAGGCGTGAGCCACTGTGCCCTAAAAAGGCCTCTATTTAAGCTTTCTCATTCATTTATCTTGCAAGGATTTTTTGTGTGTCTTACAATGTGCCAGAAACCGGGGATATAAAGATGATGAAGACAAAGTTTCCATCCTGAACTCACCGTACGGGGGAGTGGTTAGTAATCAGTAAGCATAAACTAGTGCACAGAAGATGTAGGTGAGAACCCACAGGAAGGGGTGTGAAATCTGAATGGGGAAAAGGGGATTTGGGGAATCGCCATGTGCCTGACTTTTGAATTTGGCCTTGAAAAAATGAGTTTGGTTTTGCCAGCAGGAGAATAAAGAAAAGGACATTTGAAGACATGATCCTAGAATTGTTGGAATGTGCAAAGGGCAAAGGCACAAAAAAGCGCCATAACATTGTGAGTTTGTGGCATGTGTGTCAGATGCATGGATGAGCACTGGCACAGGAAATCAGACAACAGGGCCTAGGCTGGTAGAGATTCCTACGCCTTTGTCCTGAACATAAGACCTTACACAAGAGAGGCATAACATCAGCATTTTTTTTTTTGACTCTCTGTCACCTATGCTGGAGTGCAATGACGTGATCTCGGCTCACTGCAACCTCTGCCTCCTGGGTTCAAGCAATTCTCCTGTCTCAGCCTCCCAAGTAGCTGGGATTACAGGGATCCACCACTACGCCCAGCTAATTTTTTGTAGTTTTAGTAGAGGTGAGGTTTCACCATGTTGGCCAGGCTGGTCTCGAACTCCTGACCTCAGGTGGTCCACTTGCCTCGGCCCTCCAAAGTGCTGGCATTACAGTCATGAGCCACACACCTGACCAAGATCAGCATTTTAGCAAAGCATTAGTGGTCAATGGCTTTGAGCAGGAACAGCCACCACCTGGAAGGTCATTGCAGTGACCTGACTGAGAGGTGTTGCAAGCCGAAGTAGCAGCTGTGAAAGCAGAGCAGAGAGGGAGGGTAGGGATTTATTTAGACAACAGAAGCAGTAGGAACTGATGACCACATCCCGGGGGTGAGATCAAGGCGGGGAGAGCAATAAGCGGGGGAGGGAAGGTAAGTTGGTTGAACTCTAGAATGAATTAGATGGAAAATTAGAAAGAGGTTACAACTACTAAGCAAAATAGGGTCTAAGGGAAAAAGAATGGTCTTGATATCAGTTCAGGACTTGGTGACATGGATTGAGGAATAAGCATGTAAAGGTGTCTAGTCAGTGGGTGAAAATATTGGACTAGTGGCCCAGAGGGATATCAGGGCCAGTCGTCTAGGTTTGTTGAGCTACCTGCATGCTAGACACAGCATTAGAGAGTCATTGAGTTTGTCCAGGAGAATATGCATTTTGCAAAGAGAAAAGGCTTTCTTGAGGAACATGAATATTCAAAGAGAAGATGGATGGCTAGAATATAAACAACATGCAGCAGAGATGTTTGCCTGTTCTGTTGATTGATATGTACTAGGCACAGGAAAATAGTTCTTAAACAAATGCAGGGTAGGAGGGAGAGAAATGACCCAAGGAATCTGAGAAGGAATGATCAGAGACAGAGGAGAAAAAGAGGCGTTAAGCCGTATTGCCAAAATCGGGAGAGCAAGGGAGATTTTCAAGGATCAGAGATTGGTGAAGAGTACCACATGCTGCTGAGAGGTAAACGTTGGGGAGGTCTGGAGACTTTCAATGAGCAGAGTTTCAAGAGAACAGCTTCAGTTGGGTGGGTGGGGTATGGTGTAGAGAGGGTGGCAGTGAGTACAGGAATAAGTAGGGAAGACAGCAAGGAGAGGGTGCGAGTTTTGGAAATGAGCATTATTTGGATGATGGAAGAGATCTTGCCATTCTTGCTACACTTTAAATAAACACCAGAATCTATCAGACTCTGCTTTGGTCTGTGCCAGGGGTTCTTGATGTGAAGTCCCCCAGGCCAGAGGCCTCAGCATCACCTGGGAGCCTGTTAAAAGTGCAGATTCTCAGTTCTTATCTAGACCTCCTGAGTCATAAATTCTGGGGGTGGGGGCCCAGCACCTGTGTGTTTTAATGAGCCTTTGGAATGAGTTTGGGAACCACTGGCTGTGACATAATTTTGAGAAAAATTAGCACAGTTGAGCTCATTTTCCTCTGAAGAGTGAGTTTCTGAGAGAGTTTTAAAGCTAGAAGCCAAGATGTACAGAGCGGAGAGCAGGAGAAAGGAAGCTCTGCCCTCCTGCCTGGGGTGCAGCTGGGCTCAGTTTTCTTGGTGCAGATAGAAAGAAAAGCCGAGTAGCCTCATTCCCTTACCGAGTCTCAAATTTCCTGTTGCAACACAAAACACTATTATCTAAGTACATGCTTTGCTTTAATAGAATGCGGCCTTCCTTTTATTAAAGGCCTGGAATTCCCCATTCTTTTTTTCTGTCCTTAAAATGCCGTCTGATATTTTTATTTTTGGTATGCCACATGAGTGCAAACTGAAAAAGCTCGAGATTCGGGCAGATATTTCCCGTGATACAACTGCAAGTTTATCAAAACATTTATTTTTGTCCTACCAGGTCTGCGAGCTGGATATTATCTTTAATTTTGAAAAGGCTTATTTCATCCTGGACGAGTTTATAATAGGTGGAGAAATTCAGGAAACATCCAAGAAAATTGCTGTCAAAGCCATTGAAGACTCTGATATGTTACAAGAGGTCAGTACAGTTTCCCAAACCACGGGAGAAAGATGATGATGATGTTAGTGTTAATAATTATGGTATTAACCAGGCTTACTGGTTACTTTGTGCTGGGTACAGTTTCGAAACTATGTATATGTATTAGCTTATTTAATTCTCACAGCAATTCAAAAAGGTGGGTGGTATTGTTACCCCCACTTTACAGATGAGTAAACTGAGACACCAAGAGGTTAAATGACCTGCTCAATTTCACACTGCTGGGAAGTGTGGTATAGAGATTGAACCCAGGTAACTGGGCTTAAGAGTTTTGCTCTTCACGTTTGGCTGAGCTTTGGAGTGCGAGAATACCTCACTGCCAAAAAGGTATCAAATACTTAGTTCTATTCTTTCCAATAATAATTTTATGAGATATATAAAAAGACTTTCATTAAAATACCTGTGCTGCCCTGGGAAAGGAGAATAGCAGTACATTGTGACTTTGTTTGCCAGGGATATTAAAGCTTTATTATTGAGCACGGTATTTATCATTGTAATTAAAATTTCTTACACCTTCTGAGAAGGCTGTACGTGTGCTCCTGTTTGCATAAATGAATTGGGAACACCGTGGCTTGCCTGCCAACGTATAAATGGGCCCTGAAGCATCCGTTTGGTATTGCTCTGGACTCTGGGATTTCCATATAAAATAAAGTGGGAATGATCTTTTAGAAGCAGCACAGATTTGCATCATACCTCATCAGGGAATTTACCTATTAGCCCCTCCATTCTTCCCAAGACGCTGTGAGAAAGAGCACTTCACCCCACTGACCTCTGCCCTCACAGATGAGATGCTCTGAGGGCCTGGGTTTCATCCCAGCTCCTCCACCTCTAGATCCTCTTCCCACAGTCTCAGTGGGTCTTCCCACCTTCCTATTTTCAAATCAGTAGGTCAAGAGGATCCAGAGCTTATAAAGTACTTTTTTTTTTTTTTTTAAGTGGCATTTGGCCAGACACGGTGGCTCACTCCTATAATCCCAGCACTTTTGGAGGCTGAGGCAGGCGGCTCACTTGAGGCCAGGAGTTAGAGACCTGGCCAACATGGTGAAGCCTTGTCTCTATTGAAAAAAAAAAAAATTAGCCAGGCATGGTGGCGGACACCTGTAATCCCAGCTACTTGGGAGGCTGAGGCAGGAAAACCACTTGAACCCAGGAGGCACGGGTTGCAGTGAGCTGAGATCGCACCACTGCACCACCTGGGTGACAGAGCGAGACTCGAGACTCCATTTCAGAAATAAAGAAAAATAAAAAACATAATAAATAAATAAAACTGGCATTAAAACAATTTTTTCTGCTATGTGGAAGAGGGTGATTAGGTTAACAAAACACCATTACCTGTGAATTCCCAGCAGCTGTTTTAGTGCATCTTTGGGCTGATTACTTGCTTCCACCCAGCCAGAGAATCAGTCCTCTGGTGAATGGATGTGAAGGAAGACATCTATTTGAGTGGGTGCCACAAACAGCTGCGTGTGCCTATTAGCAGTCCAATGGATTCATTACCAGAGGAGTCTCACCTCAAAAAATGCATTTAAACTCTCCAATGTTGATTTGGCTGTCTCCAAATGCCACAGGGAGAAAACTTTACAAAGTATTTGAGAAATCAGTGGTTTGGAAATTTCACAAAACTGTTTTATAAAATCTACTGGGGGTTGGGGTAGGCAGAGAGGGAGGAGGTTTTTTTAAATTCTATCCTCAGGGTCCTGACTGTGCAATCTCCTAACAAGAGAAACAGACTTTTAACAGGGTCTTTGGCACTTCGGTAATTAAAACTGAATTGGGGGGCCAAGACACACCTGGGTTAATCTGAAATCCTCTTAAACCAGGAAGCACCTATAATCCCAGCACTTTGGGAGGCCGAGACAGGCAGATCATGAGGTCAGGAGTTTGAGACCAGCCTGGCCAACATGGTGAAACCCCATCTCTACAAAAACAAAAACAAAAACAAAAATTAGCTGGGCATGGTGGTGGGTGCCTGTAATCCCAGCTATTCAAGGAAGCTGAGGCAGGACAATTGTTTGAACCTGGGAGACAGAGGTTGCAGTGAGCCGAGATTGCACCATTGCACTCCAGCCTGGGCAACAAGAGCAAAACTCCATCTCAAAAAAAAGGTGGTTGGAAATCTGGTGTTGCTAGATTTAAATCTAGGAAGTAGGTATTTCAAGAGTGAGCTCTTTCACAATTAAACGCTAATTGGCAGTTCATGTTCCTGGTGATTGAGTGGAGGGACTTGATGGGTAGGTCTCAGGGGACCTTGCATTTAGTCCCAGTGTCCCTATTTAGGTGAGCAGGCAATGTCATGGCTGCCATCTCAATTTCTTCTGTTGCACTAACAACACTTGCCAAATACAGAGAGTGTTACTAGTGTTCTCTTGAGCTCTGGTATTCGAAGTCAATGAATATTTTGGGGAGCTTGTTGAGAAATGGACTTGTTTATCTTGCCTGCTTAAGAAGTTTAAACTGGATAAGAGCCAGTGATATACTTGCATCAAGGAAAACAATTACTGCTTTTTTTTTCTGTCCTTTGGAGCTAATCATATATTTGTAGTTACTGAAGGTTAAGGGAGGCCTTTGTGACATTGCTTTAGCTGTGAGAACAACTGTCCCCCTTAAGTAGCCTTTAAAGACTTTTCTCTAACTCCTACTTAATAACAGTTTCTTAGAATAGTAATAACTTTTAAAAAGCTGCACCTTTTGGGAGGCTGAGGTGGGCGGATCACGAGGTCAAGAGCCAACATGGTGAAACCCTATCTCTACTAAAAATACAAAAATTAGCTGGGCGTAGTGGCATGGGCATGTGGTCCCAGCTACTCGGGAGGCTGAGGCGGAAGAATCACTTGAATCCAGGAGGTGGAGGTTGCAGTGAGCCGAGACTGCGCCACTGCACTCCAGCCTGGCGACAGAGCAAGACTCCATCTAAAAAAAAAAAAAAAGCTGCACCTGCCTGCATATTTAGTAAGAAGACAAATAACCTAAAATCTCCAGATGTTCAAAGCTTATTCTGAGTGTGCAGTGACTAGATGTTGATAAAAGGAGAAGAAGGAAATGTTTACTTGGTTGGGGATACTTATTTGGGGGTACTAACAATATGGACAATGGCACAAAGTTATTGGAAGGAAAATAAAACTCTCTGGCCAAGCACAGTGGCTCATGTCTGTAATCCCAGCACTTTGGGAGGCCGAGGCGGGAGGATCACTTGAGGTCAGAAGTTCAAGACAAGCCTAGCCAACATGTCGAAATCCCATCCCTACTAAAAATACAAATATTAGCCAGGCGTGATGATGAAGGTCTGTAATCCCAGCTACTTGAGAGGCTGAGGCAGGAGAATCGCTTGAACCAAGAAGGCAGAGGTTGCAGTGAGCCAAGATGGCGCCACTGCGCTCCAGCCTGGGTGACAGAGTGAGACTCTATCTCAAAAACAAAAACACAATGAAACTCTCAAAGGAGGTAGTGGTTATTAACTGCAGAACTTGCAATACGTGGGAGGGACAAACAGTGTGTTTTACCTGACTAACAACCTGCCAAGAAGGGAGGCTCAAGGACAGCTGCAGTGGCTCATGCCGGTATTCCCAGCACCTTAGGAGGCCCAGGCAGAAGATTGCTTAAGTACAAGAGTTTGAGGTCAGCCTGGGCAACATAGTGAGAACCCTGTCTCTACAAAAAAAGATAAAATTAGCCATGTGTGGTGTGCACCTGTAATCCCAGCTACTCAGAAGGCTGACGCAGAAGGACCGCTTGAGCCCAGGAATTTTGAGACCAGGCATAGTGAGAACCTCATCTCTACAAAAAGTAATACAATTAGCCAGGCGTGGTGGTGTGCACCTGTAATTTCAGCTACTTGGAAGGCTAAAGTGAAAGGATCACTTGAGCCCAAGAGGTTGAGGCTTCAGTGAGTGGTAATCGCACCACTGCACTCCAGCCTGGGTGACAGAGTGAGACCCTGTCTCCAAAAAGGAAGGGTCAGATTGTATCTCAGGAGCAACAGGATACCGTGCGCCCTCGTGTGGATGCATGTGAAACTGCTAGATGCACCCAACACTGTCATCCTTAAGAGTAAACCATTTTATCAGCTAAGCCAAACTACAATGCAATAGGAAGTCACAACATGCACTGAGCTGTATGCATAAGAAACACCACAGAGCTAGATGTAACCAGAAGAGGTCCCGAGATACAGACTCCAGTCCCTGTCTTGCGAATATGAGGGCAACTAAGGTTCTGCCAGCTCTGAAAGTCTGCCCCAAATCTTTAAAGTAGCAAGATCAAGAAAATACCAACTTTTACCTTGCTGGTTTACACAGCTTGAGTAACAGCCTGGCTCGGCTCACACGGGGCAGCCAGTGTGGTGTTTAGCAGACTGAGTCATCTGGCGGTGTGAGCAGTGCCAATGACTAGAGGCCACTGAACCACAAGGACAGGAAAGTGTCAACTCCAGACCCGTCTCAAGGCTGCAGGCAGGGTCTAGCGATGCCCTCATCTGGTCATGGGTTTTTGTCAACATTGCAAAAGTAAGATATTTTAACTGCAAAAAGTGCATAGCCATACAATGCAATATATGCTAGAGGAGCGTCAAGCCATTAATTAATGAAAATAACATGCAACTGATTTTTATTTGGTGGTGTCTGTCATCTTCAAAGTTCATAATCTGCGGTCATTTCTTTTCTCATCCCAAATATACTTTATATCTGATTTTGTATTTGTAACTTTGTATTCCCACTTAAATGGTATACACTCTAGATTCCACAAAACCAGCATGGGCCAATGGCCTGTGTGATCCCTCTGCTAAGTTAAAAGACATGGGCAGCATCTGTAGAGGGGTAGAGAGGGGTACGGGGCTCTCAGCCAATGCCCATTTAGGAGGTGAGAGCTTTATTGAGTAAACATGGATGACTGAGCACAAGTATTTCTCAGCAGAGGAACTGTGGAATTCTAGATAGAGCTGGTGAAAACCAGTTAGAAAATCTCTTTCGAAGATAAGGGCAGACTTCTAGCTCTGCTATCTCCTGAACAACCTTGCTCGGCCAGTAGCCTTGCTCTCTTCCGCCCATATCAGTTAGTGGACTTCCTGGCAGGTTCATATGAATCACATACCCTGGGGTTTAAACTTAAGAACAGGTTGACCTTGGATTGCTAAATGAGCGAATCGTGACTCAAACGAAAGAGACAGGTGGGCTTTTTGTTCTCTCGAGCTTTCTTACTGATTCAACCTGAGGCTCTGGTGTGACACAAATATAGATGTTTATAGTAGGAGAGAGTACAAGAGAAGGCCCATCCGTCTTGTATGGTATAGGACCAGCAACATCACTGTTAACTTTGAACTCTGCCTGTACTCGTGAGTCTGTTCAAACATTTTTTTTTAAATGCTGAAAAAAAATTATGCCTTAGCAAACTTAGTAACTGATGGGCAATATAAAAAGAACAAGATCATGTCCTTTGCAGGGACATGGATGGAGCTGGAGGCCATTATTCTTAGCAAACTAACCCAGGAACAGAAAATCAAATGCTGTGCGTGTTCCCACTTATAAGTGAGAACTAAATGATGAGAACACATGGATACATAGAAGGGAACAATACACATGGGAGCCCATCAGAGGGTGAAGGTTGGGAGGAGGGAGAGGATCAGGAAAAATCACGACTGGGTACTAGGCTTCCTACCTGGGTGATGAAATCATCTGTGTAACAAATCCCCAGGACGCAAGTTTACCTATATAACAAACCTGCACATGTAAAAGTCAAAAAGAAACGTAATTTGTTTACTTTGGAGGATGGATGCCTTTGGAAACATAGAAATTATATATTTTTTTCTATGAACTTGGGAGAGAAGTAAAGAAATTTCTAAAAATTTTGGTCTGTTTATCTTTTTCTTTTTTTTCTTTTGAGATGAAGTTTCACTCCTGTTGCCCAGACTGGAGTGTAACGGTGCAATGTCGGTTCACTGCAACCTCCGCCTCCTGGGTTCAAGTGATTCTCCTGCCTCAGCCTCCTGAGCAGCTGGGATTACAGGTGCCCACCACAACACCCAGCTAATTTTTGTATTTTTAGTAGAGATGGGGTTTCACCATGTTGGCTATGCTAGTCTTGAATTCCTGACCTCAGGTGATCCACCTGCCTTGGCCTCCCAAAGTGCTGGGACTATAGGCATGAGCTGCCATACCCGGCCTGTTTATCTTTTTTGTCTTGACAATACATATAATAAAGATGTTTTGCACAATATAGGTAACAATACATATGTTATACAAATATAATTCAGAATTCTCTAATACATACCTGGATGTGGTGGTCTTCATGATGATTTTAGCAAACATGTTTATCTTAAGTCAACAGTGATATCTTGGCAACTTTGCTTTAGCATTTCTCTCTCTCTTTTTTTTTTTTTTTGAGATGGAGTCTCATTCTGTCACCCAGGTTGGAGTGCAGTGGCACAAACTTGGCTCACTGCAACCTCCGCCTCCCGGTTCAAGCAATTCTACTGCCTCAGCTTCCGAAGTAGCTGGGACTACAGGTGTGCGCCAACACACCAAGCTAATGTTTGTATTTTTTTTGTAGAGATGGGGTTTTGCCATGTTGGCCAGGCTGACCTCAGGTGCTACACCCACCTCAGCCTCCCAAAGTGCTGGTGTTACAGGTGTGAGCACTGCGCTGGCCAAGCACTACTCTTACCAGACATTCATTTTATGATCACACTTAACTTTTTCTCGGTTGAAAGTTACTTAATTCCAGCCATATGGATGTGTATACAAATTATACTCAAACTTTGATTAGAATGCAAAGATTTTATATCCATGTATCCTTTTGACAACTCGTTTTCAACTACGGCAAATAAATAAAAATGCTGATTTCACAATCTGCTAAGGGATGTGACTTAAAGGGAAGATTGTTCTAATTTATTGTTCTCTTTCAGACATTGGAAGAATACATGAACAAGCCTACATTTTAACTGGAAATCTACCTGAAGACTGGAGCCCACATGTTATGAAGCTGTAAATAAGCAATGCTTCCCATCCGGTTTTTTGATGAAGCCTCAGGCACCATGCCAAAAATAACTTAAAGGGATTTTTGTTAACTAACAAAAGTTAAAGTTGTTTAACATATTTATAATTACTATGTGTCTGTATTATTAAAAAAAAGAAAAACCCGTGTGTCTTTATTATACTGTATAAAAGTCCTTGAAGCTCTGAATGTTTAAAAACCCCACAGACAAGATTTGTAATGTTTTAACTCCGTCTTATATTTTTAAGCTCCTTTAGATAAATTTGCTGCAATTTTTTTGCATTTGATCCTCTACTGACAGGTTGAAAAATATGTTGTAATAATCCATGGTTTTGAATGTAAAATATATACGATGTCGTTAATACTTTTTCTAAATGTTTAGTTTTTTAAATTGTATAATAATTCAAACTTATGTTGATAGTGCAGGTGATAAATAATGCTAGACCTTTTTCTTTTCTTTTTTTTTTGAGACGGAGTTTCGCTCTTGTTACCCAGGCTGGAGTGCAATGGCGCGATCTTGGCTCACTGCAACCTCCGCCTCCTGGGTTCAGGCAATTCTCCTGCCTCAGCCTCCTGAGTAGCTGGGATTACAGGCACGCGACACCATGCCCAGCTAATTTTTTGTATTTTTAGTAGAGACGGGGTTTCACCATGTTGACCAGGATGGTCTCGATATCCTGACCTCGTGATCCACCCGCCTTGGCCTCCCAAAGTGCTGGGATTACAGGCATGAGCCACCGCGCCTGGCTGCTAGACCTTTTTCATACACTTAATAATACTGTTATTGCAATTCACGTACAAAGTATCTGATTTTAAAGTGCTGAATTCATTTATTTTTTTCAGAATTGGGGTTAAGAAAATAACCAAAGAGTATAGAATTTAATAAGTGTTTTTGATGCTTTAGAAGCTGCTATCCTGACTGAGGTTTTAATTTATCTTTTAATTGAATATAAGGGACGTTCCAGTAAGGTTTTCTACAAACTACATATTTATTAAGGTTCATAGAGACCTAGAGATACAGTGTCTATGGCTTCCTTTATTATTCTAAAGTAGTGTAAGGGTTAATAACAATAGCAGTAATAATTTTTGCTGCTATTTTTTAAATTTAATGTTCCAAGCTGGAAATTTCATTTCAAATATGTTTCAATGTATCTCTAATACTTTGAAGATTTACTATATGGCTTACTCAGAGCACTTAAGATTATCACAGCCTATATTGTGGATTCCTTTCCTTCTTTTTATTTTCTCCCTCTTTCTTCCCTAAATAAAAGATTTACTGCTGACCATTATTGCTGTGAATATATTACATTTGTGCTTCCTGGAATGAAAATTCTGTGTAACCAGGTACTAACAGTGATCAAGCATATTGTGGGGAAATAGCCTGTAGGGCGGGCGTGGTGGCTCACACCTGTAATCCCAGCACTTTGGGAGGCTGAGGTGGGTGCATCACTTGAGGTCAAGAGTTGGAGAGCAGCCTGGCCAACATGTTGAAACCCCTTTTCTACTAAAAATACAAAAATTAGCTGGGCATAGTGGCGCACACCTGTAGTCCCAGCTACTCAGGAGGCTGAGGCAGAATTGCTTGAATCCAGGAGGCAGAGGTTGCAGCAAGGCGAGATTGCGCCACTGCACTCCAGCCTGGTGACAGAACTCACAAAACAAAACAAAACAAAAAAATTAGCCAGGTGTGGTGGCGGATACCTGAAATCCCAGCTACTCCGGGCATGCGTTGGGGGCGCTGAGGCAGGAGAATGGCTTGAATCTGGGAGGCAGAGGTTGCAGTGAGCTGAGATCACTGTACTCCAGCCTGGGCGACATAGCAAGATTCTGCCTCAAAAAAAAAAAAAAAAAAAAAAAAAAAAAGGAAAAGCTTGTAGTATTCTGTCTTGGTGCCTGCTATTTGATGTTTTACCTGTGTATGCTCAATGTTAGTTTCAAGGCCTGGTATCATTCATATCAGAGTGGTTTGGGACCTTCAGTGATTTCCTAGAAGAGTGTGTTTCCTGTTGGATTCTTTAGAAGATCCCATCTAGTAGATTTTTAGAGAAACTTATGGAAAAATGTTCTCTTTAGTTCATCTCAGCAGACATATTTAGGGAAAACAGCAAAGCAAGCAGGAGAACAAATGGAAAAAGTCACCAATTCCTCAATATAACCATCAAAGGAAATAATTCAGATTAGTACATAAAATAATCATTAGGCTTTTACTATCCAATATTTCCTCAACCACATAATTACAGTTACGACATCAGCTTGAAGGATATCATTTATGATTGATCACTCTTTCGCTTATCTTCAGTTTTGTGGTTTAACTTAATAATGTGGTAGAATCCTTCCCTTGCCTTCCCTTTCCTCCCCTCCCCTCCCTCTTCCCCCTCCCCTCCTCTCCCCTCCCTCCCCTCCCCCCTCCCTTCCCTTCCCCTCCCTCCTCCTCCCCGTTTCCCTCCCTTCCCCTCCCTCCTCCCCCTCCCCTCCCCTCCCTCCTCCCCCTCCCCTCCCCTCCCCTTCCTCCTCCCTCCTCCCCCCTCCCCTCTCCCTACTTCCTTCCCTTATTTTTTGAGACGGAGTTTTGCTCTTGTTGCCTAGGTTGGTGTGCAATGTTGCAATCTCGGCTCACTGCAACCTACACCTCCCTGGTTCAAGCAGTTCTCCTGCCTCAGCCTCCCAAGTTGCTGGGATTACAGGCATGCATCACCATGCCTAGCTAATTTTGTATTTTTAGTAGAGACAGGGTTTCTCCATGTTAGGCTGGACTTGAACTCCCAACCTCAGATGATCTACCTTGTCTCAGCTTTACAAAGTGCCAGGATTACAGGAATGAACCACCACACCTGGCCGAATTCTTTATTTTTCAATACAATTTTGTAAAGATGGACCTCGTGTAAATCCATCACATTTTTTCTGGTTCTTTTGAAATTTGTCACCATATTTGGATAATGGTAGCTCTTGAACCTCAATCAAATATACTACATATATTGATAATTCTGTATTAGACACTCTAGCTATGCACAGGCTTCTCAGACTTCCTATCAATGTCACACATAGAAAGTAAATGTATCTCAGCCAAGTGAGGTGGCTCACACCTGTAATCCCAGTACTTTGGGAGGCCAATGCGGGCAGATCACCTGAGGTCAGGAGTTCAAGACCAGCCTGGTAGGCATGGTGAAACCCTGTCTTTACTAAAAATACAAAAATTAGCCAGGCATGGTGTTGCACACTTGTGCCAGCTACTTGGGAGGCTGAGGTGAGAGAATTGCTTGAACCCGGGAGGTGGAGGTTGCAGTGAGCTGAGATCATGCCATTGTACTCCAATCTGGGTGACAGAGTGAGACTCTGTCTAAAAAAAAAAAGGAATTAAATATATCTATATGGCACAATGGGGTAAATTTGAGAAATTTTAGGGACATCTTACATGGGCCTACGCTAAAATAATCATTGTGTTTTCTTTATGTTATATAATTAACGTCAGATGACCAAGGGAAAGGGAAGATAGTAAATATTAAATTTCTATAAAACTTCCAAAATAAAATATTTTAACATCTTTAATGAAGAATTCGGTGTGCTTTCATGAATATACTTTTTTAAAGTCAGATTTGATGCTTGAAATATGCATAATTCCTGGCAACGTCTCTTTAATAAGGCCTCTTTATTTTCTTGGTACCTACCACCAAGAAGCTACTTGACAAGTAAGTGGTAGCAAATGGGAGAAGAGCATTGATTGTTTTTGCTCCTACTGACTTTTCTCATCATTCGCCTACATTTTAGTAATCTGATCTTTTTTACCTGTAATTAATGATGGGAACATTCTTTAAATCTAGTGACAGCTCCTTTTCTTTCATTAACAAATGTGAAGTCCACAGTTCTTGTGATAAAGCAAATGGATTTTTGATTCAAACTTTTTTCCATGTCAAACCTCTGAAAATAATGATTAAGCTTTTGTCAAATGTATTGTTCTAACCTTTTTTTTTTTTTTTTTGAGACAGAGTCTCACTCTGTTGCCCAGGCGGGAGTACAGTAGTGTGATCTCCACTCAATGCAACCTCCGCCCCGGGGGTTCAAGTGGTTCTTGTGCCTCAGCCTCCCAAGAGGCGGGGATTATAGACGTGCACCACCACACCTGGCCAATTTTTGTAGTTTTAGGAGAGATGTTGTTTCACCATGTTGGCCAGGTTAGTCTTGAACTCCTGACCTCAGATGACCTGCCCACCTTGGCTTCCCAAAGTGCTGGGATTACAGGAGTGAGCCACCGCCCCTGGCAGGCGTCTTCTTTAGAATTCATATTATAATACCTATGAAATATCATTGGTGAACTGTGTTTAATTTCACCTCTCTAAGTTATAATCAATAAACGTTACTGGTAAATTTTACTGACAATGTGCTTATTCACAATGGTCCCTGAAAATTTTTGATTAAGTTCATTCGAATGTTGGGGGATACGAGCAAAGCAAACCAATGAATATTCTCCAATAATCTGCAAAGGAGGTCTATTACTTTTTTTTCAGCTCTTATTTTAACTCTTGACAAATTATTGGCAAAATCTTACCCATAGCCCATGTACTTGGGTATTACGCAGTGATCATCTATTTTGTCACATATTGCTAAAAATAGAAAGGTCTGTAACATCTAGGGCTTTTTTTTTTTTTTTTTTTTTTTTTTTTTTTGAGTCAAGGTCTAGCTCTGTTGACCAGGCTGGTAAGCAGTGGCATGATCACAGCTCACTGCGAACTTGAACTCCCAGGTTTAAGGGATCCTCTCACCACAGCCTCCCAAGTAGCTGGGACTAGAGTCATGCACTACCATGCCTGGCTGATTTTCAAACTTTTTGTAAAGATCGGGAGCCTCCCTGTATTGGCCAGGCTGGTCTTGACCTCCTGGGCTCAAGAGATCCTCCTGCTTTGGCCTCCCAAAGTATTGGGATTACAGGCATGAGCCACCATGTCTGACTTTCTCAGGCTTTATTAGACTCAGCTTCTGATAGAACCACTTAATGTGGAATTCAGTCCTACACATGAACTTTCGATACGTTCTTTATGAATAAGCTCACACATAACCGAATCTCAGTGTCTTTTCCTTGCATCTGTGTCGTCAGCACATACTTTATGCAATGTTTCCATTATATTAAACTTATTTAAAGTGTTCATTTACTAAATAACAAGGATCGATTAACCTGAGATGATCTATTCACAACTTAACCTTTCTGGATTATAATTATTTCCATATCTTTGACATGTTTTCTATGCAGTGATAGTATTATTCAAAAGTGGCACTTTTTCTCTTTCCTTTGATACATGTTGAGGATTTCCACACATATTGGTAACCTGAGCAGTTCTGCAATTGTGTGAGTTACATGAGCTTTTGCTATTGTTAGCTGACTTCATAACTAGGCTTATGAGACATACTTTATATACCTCATGTTGTTATAACATTTTTAAGAATTAAAAAATAGAGATGAGTTCTCACTATGTTGCCCAGGTTGGTCTTGAACTCCTGGTCTCAAGTAATCCTCCTACTTTAGCCTCCCAAAGTGCTGGGATTACAGGCATCAGCCACCACGTCCAGCCTGCTATAACTTCTAAAATAACTTCATTTCTTATATTATACTTGCCCTTGTTTAAATTGTTATTTAATCTTGTGTGTAAAACGATTGCTTAGTAGAGAGATGCCAGTATAATTTACTTGACACTATTGCTTTACTTGATAACATTTTGAAGGAAAGAAGACATTTAGGCTGAAGAAAAGGAGGAATTATGAAGAACTTGGTTCCACACGTGAGATACTTCTCATCCTGCATCAGTAGTGACTTAAACTCTTTTTTGAATATTTTTTTGTGTGGGGGATCTGTTGAATTTGGGAAGCCTCCAGTTTTAATAAAATTTTTTATTATTTTGGAAACATATCTGTAAACATAGGACTATATAAGTGCAAAGAATAAAGAACTAAGGAGCTTGCACACATTTGTAGTCAGAAATTAAGTTCAAAAAATAACTGAGGTTATTTGCATTCTTTAGTATGCAAAATAAATTGAAAAATTAAAGTGCAATAAAATGTAATTTAAAAAATGAATGCAGTTAACATTGAAAACATTGAAATATTAATTATCATTTAATAAAATAAACATCAAAAAAACATTAAAATATAAGTATTTTCACCTATGTAGGATTAAATATATTTCAGATGATCTGTCCTTTATAATGAATTGATTTAATAATGTTTTTCTGTTTTTAGAGATGAGCATCTTTTTATTCCTGGAAATAATTTTTTAATGAGATTTTATCAAGCATTAGACTAT